TTTAAGCCTTAGTCCTCTCTTTTGGACACAGGTATCCTCCTTTTTAAGCCTTAGTCCTCTCTTTTGGACACAGGTATCCTCCTTTTTAAGCCTTACTCCTCTGTTTTGGACACAGGTGTCCTCCTTTTTGAGCCTTACTCCTCTGTTTTGGACACAGGTGTCCTCCTTTTAAAGCCTTAGCCCTCTCTTTTGGACACAGGTGTCCTCCTTTTTAAAATCTTAGTCCTCTCTTTTGGACACAGGTGTCCTCCTTTTTAAAATCTTAGTCCTCTCTTTTGGACACAGGTGTCCTTTTTGAGCCTTAGTCTTCCATTTTGGACACAAGTGTCTTCCTTTTTAGTCATGCTGGTAGTCACCTTATACTCACCACAGTGATGCACAATTAATCATTGACCATACATTGTAAAAAATACAGTTAATAATATATCAAAGTATCTTTCTAGCTGTTGCCCAGTAGCCCATAGAACAATGAAGAAAGCAGACTGATTAAAAGCCCGTCCCATAGCCATCGTATGGTAAATCGTATTTTTCAGTTTTAGCTGCATCATGGTGCCTTGGTGTGAGGTGGCGTGAAATTCCTGGCTTAAGGTTCAGAGTGACCTGCAAAAGGTTCTTTGTTTGTGTCCCCATATTTTTATTTTCCTTCATGCATTCATAAAGGTCAGTCCAACATGGGGGAGTATCACGCCCCTCCCAACCCTCCTACCACCCAGATACACTTTATATATTATTTCATATTTATCTCTGAATTGGCATCTTCTGTTGAGGGGTAGAGTTTGGATTTAGTGCATCAAATATCCTGCATCACTGCATTGTCCTGTGTGGATTGTGAGTGCCAAAAGGGACATTACCAAAGCACCCCCCCCCCGGAAACTCATCTGCTTACAGGCTTCCAGCTTCCTCATACACAGAGAGCGCCTCACAATTCTCACCATTGTACTGTCCGCACCTATTGCCCTTCTCAACCCTCCTCTCATCCTGCTCAAGGTTGTATGACAAACATGCCGAAATGTGCTGAAGCACAACAGACTTCTTGGTGAGACTGAAGGTGACCACAGCTGGTGTTTATAGGCATCACACTGTACTCTGCAGCCAGCCTTGGAAGCCCACAGCTCAGCTCCCTGTGGGAACGTGTCTGTTGGTTATTGACTAGGTTGACTGGATCGGTGGACAAAATGCATGTCACCCAACCCGATCACCTTAAAAAATATAGAACAATACAATTCTCTGCTTTATTCAATATTGCTTATTATATTAGTATTATAATAATATAGTTATAATATTCACACAGTATCATATATAATGTCACTGTAAATTAACATTCCAAAAGGAGAAGATGCATAGAAGCTGATAGACAGAAGCATGTAGATCCATATGGACACACATAACCATGACTTGGAAGGGACAGGGTCAGAACCAGCACTGGAGGCCGACAGTGCAGTCCTCCAGGAATGCTGTAGCTATGTTCTGCATGGGGGGGTCAGGCTTTCACCTCATCAACTAGTAGAAGAGGTGGAAGAGATCGGGAGACTCACAAACAGGTATTTTAAATGTGTCTAGCTTGACTCAGTGTCTGATGCAGGTAACGGGGTACCCCTGACGGGTCCTTCATATAGTGAGAGCAACCAATAAGACTTTAAACTAACCAGAGTTTCAGCCACCTTGATGCCTTCTCCTTGTACTCCATCACCTGGACTAAAACTATACAACGTTCCCTCCACCTCTGTCACTCATCAGCAGTGCTTCGTATTTTTTTTTTTAAAAAAGGCTGTTACTTAATTTTACATACTTAGAACTAGTGATGGAAAAAATGATGCTTTGTGGACCATTTGCTGTATTTTTTGATCCCATTACTAGATGGCGCTTTCTTTTCAAAAAAAGAACACAAAGGATACCCCTAAGCAAAGCAAGAGCACCATCTAGTGGGGTCAAAACATACAGCAGATGGTTCACAAGGCATCATTTTGTCCCTCACCACTTAAAACCTCCCAATGGCGCTAGATAATATACAAAATAGCGGGACATTTTATTTTCTTATTGTCCTTTGGAATTTCTGCCACTTTCTTCCACTTGCTTCCCAAAGACAGCATTCCCAGCCACTCGGGATCGCCAACAGGGTGCAGCAGGCTTGGGGTCTGGAGCAGTGCTCTGCAGTGCTCTGAAGTACAGCCACATTAGCTAGCACAGCAGCCCCAGGAAGACTGGCCGTTCGGCTCCTGAAGGTTTACCCCCCTGTGCCAAGCAGCATGTGTGGGGTTCTGGGTGTCCATCTTTGGCATCTTCTTGGCTGGAGAAAGATTACTGGTTTTAAATAAGTCTGTTGTGTTGCTACCGCACATACAGAACATTATAAACAAGCTGAACACAGGTGCAAAGGTTGTATGGATGATGATCAGGTGCTGAATCAGCAAACTTTATTTGAATGATATGGGGCCCATAAGGCTTTTGGTAGAACATTCCTGGAATTTATGACACGGGCCGCACCACTGAGCACCCCTATGGGGGCGGGGCTTACCAATAGCCAGGAACAGCTCATTGACATTCATGGCGGTCTTTGCGGAAGTCTCCATGAACAGCAGGCCAGCATCTTCCGAGTAGGCCTGACCCTCCTATCACAGCGGGAAGGTGAAGGGATGGGGGTAAGGCCATCTTACATCACACACCATGTCAGCGCTGGTGTCAAGTTTGATCATCTAATACTCATAGCTAAGCCTGGTCCTGGACAAATCCTGATACTGAAACACATAGTTCTGAGCACGTACTACAAAATTAAAACTCAGAAACACATGCTGTAATGTCATCATTAGGATAACCATAAATGGATTTTGTACACATTTTGCATATTGTTAAAATCCACAGGTTTACTTTATATGTTACTATATACGTTTAAGTATATTTTTATACCACATACTGAGTTTCAGTATTTTTAAGGGAACTGTAAATTTATCTCTATCATTTGGAATTTCTGGGTCTGGGGAATGGGACAGAATGGGAATGGGACAGAATGGGAATGAGCAAACACACAGCCTCCAGGAGAAGAGTCCACCCCCCTGACTGTACTCTTTCGGGCCACCAAGTGTCGGCCCCCCAAAGTGTGGGTCGCACCTCGTACTCCACCATGCGCCGGTCCGCCAGGTCAGCTTTGTTCCCCGCCAGGGCGATAACGATGCTGGGGCTGGCCTGCCTTTGGAGCTCCTTCACCCAAGCCTTGGCCCGCTCAAAGGTCTCCTGAACAGGGATGAACATTTCTGAACACACTCACTTGAATGGTATATTGGAGTATTTCTGAAGGTCCTGTGACCAGTAGTGGGTAGTTCAGGTCCAGAGAGTAAAAGTCCAGTCCAAAATTTTGTTTCAACCAGCCAGTTCAATACTCTGTGACTGTGGCTCTTTATATTCAAATGGTTGGTTGAAGTAAAAACTTGGTCTGGACTTACTCGTCTTGTGACGCAGTCAGCCTACCGGTTTGGTGATGTCGAACACCACGATGGCAGCCTGAGCACCTCGGTAATACATGGGAGCCAGGCTGTGATAGCGCTCCTGTCCTGCCGTGTCCCAAATCTCAAACTTGATGGTTGTGTCATCTAGACATACTGACTGTGCCAGAAATGCAGCTAAGACCAAGAAAGGGGAGGTCGGGAAACATCGTCACAGCAGGTGAGGGATGATTTGCTTTTGAAGTTCCCAGCACACATTAGTCATCAAGAAATATGGAATACCGATCCTGTGAATGTATGCTTTTCTCAAGCTTGCAATTGGTCCCAAATGCTCATCAATAGTTGTGAGAATATGATACTTTGTGGTCTTTCACGCTTAAACTGAACATTCTGAAGTTTGCTGAGAAATCAGGTTTTAATGCTAACCTCCTCCTGCTTAGTGAAACCTCAGATTTGGATGGTTATCCAGAGTGTTCTCCTGTGTGCTCACCTCCTATAGTGGTCTCCTGGAACTCGTCAAAATGGCCCTTCACGAACCGCAAAACCAGGCTGGATTTGCCCACTGCCATGTCTCCCAGCAGCACTAGCTTGAACTGGCAGATCTTCGTCTGCTGCGGGGTGTCATCTTCAGTACTTCCTCCGCTGGCCATTAGGAGGGGTTCCTCAGAAGAGGGAGGTCTGTGGCCAGCCTGCTCTTTTCACTGTGTGACTCCACCTCTGTCCTGCTGTCACTCTCTGCTTCTGAAACAACAATGTTGGCATGTTGCTGATGTTGCTAAAAGGAGTTGGGCTCCAGGTAGGTCCAAGAAAAGCTCCTGAAATACACAGCCTACTGTAAAGGGACAGAGTAACAAGTGATGTTTCACGGAACATTCCAGGATGTCGCCTGTTTCATTGCTCAGACATCATGTTCTATGTCATTACTGTATCATAATTATTATTACCATCATGGATTATTTTCAGATGACAACCATTGTCCTAAAACTGGAGTAACCTGGGGCCTGTCCTTCAAGGCACTGGAAAAAAAAAGCATATTCAATAAGCAGTACACACTTCCTGAAAGTACACTTCTCTTTGTAGAGGAAGTCAATGTCCCAGGTCTTTTCTGCAATCTATGGACACTCTCTGCCCAACTCTGACACTTCCGTTTATTACACAACAAGCAACAGTATATGGGGACACCAAGAAAACGTTATGATGAACACCATTCAGGAAGAACATATTCTGTTATCTTCAAAACATTTTAGTAGGGGTCATAATTAGGAATTATGATCTGTTTTCACACTGAAATTTCACAGCCAAAACATGTTTTTTAAGGCTCTCTGAGTCTTTGCTGTGTTTATATTAGCAGGAAAGTTAAAGCAGCAGACAAAATCAGTTAGAAATTCACAACCTCCAGAGTCACGAAAGGACAACACGGCTGCCGGGCAGAAGGACGGGACTTTGAAACCTTACAGATAAAGCGCAACACGACCGTGGGTATCCTGCAGCGCGGAAATATACCATGCACAAGTCTGCAATGACAGCAGCAGAGTGAGGGTATTTCAGCGTGCGTCCGTGCCAGTGCGTGTCAGTATCTGACTATTATGAGAATGATAACTATAAACATAACGAACAATCTGAATTTCACATTCAAAGCAGACGAACGCTTTAGTGCAGCCTTTATTGATTCTAGGAATGCAATGGTGAAGCCACAATCCGATGCGTCCGAACTGGCGTATCAACATACCTGAACTAAAGCAGCTTCTTTTAACGCCAGGACAAATCTGTCTGGGAGATGAGCGAAGACCTTTGCCAAAGGACAGACGGACAGTCGCACGGACGCACACACAAGTACTGCCTCCCAGCAGCCGGCAGCTCTCGGCACTGGACTCCCGAGTTCTTTCTGCTCTTCCGCACATGCGCATTAGGCGCACCATGGGTTTGGAACTTTGGATCGGTGGCCGCAGGGCTTTGAAATGCATTCGCGCATGTGACATGCGATTCTGCACTTGTTTAATCAATGAATGAATAAAGCTGGCAGTTAGACAGCAGACAGAAGTGACTTATTCCATATTTTCATATTCCTGTTTTACTCTAGATGACAGTGATGCACTGTCTACGAAAGGTTAAAAGTACCGACTGTGATTCACATGCTAAGAAACAACATAAAACATTCATTTTATTACTTATACAATATGCTCTGTTTCCTCCCTCTCGTGCTGCGTGTGGAGTTTGCGGTGCACTATGATAGACTGGCACCTGCAGCCTGTGGCCTCGCGTGGCTGCTGTTTGGTGTCCAAGGCCAGCCCCTATGACGAGAATTACGTCACAATCGGCGCGCGCTGTCGCACCGTTGCGTTAGCGTGAAGTACAGATAATGCCATCACCTTCCCCAGGTGACACATTCTACTGTCACAGCATCACCTCCCATCTGAGAACTCAAATAGCCCAGGAGTCTCTGATCCAGCCAAATTCCCTGCCGGCTTGGCCCAGCAGGACGAGGGCCGCTTTGTATATTCTTTATTGCGATATGCTGATATGAGGGAAAATTTTGTTACAGAACAAAATTTGGCTTTTACTAGCTTTACACGTAGTTATATACCAGCCTAAACCATAGACATCTGAAGCCCATAAAGTTATTGAATCCACAAAATAAAAATAAAAAAGACTTAATTTTTTCCATAGGTTTAAATATTGGACATTAAATTCAACCTTGTCGTAAAACAGACTCTAGACCACACACACTAAATGAATTAAAATTTTAACTATTGTTCTCACGGAGGGGGGGGGGGCGGTAGCCATCGGAGGCGGGTCCACCGGCGGAAGCAGTAAGACTGCTGTGTGAGAGCAGGAAACACCGTTCTGACACAGGAGCCGGGTATCTCGGTTGGGCTTAACGAAACAATACCCACTGCTATGGCTGTCGGGGCTGTGAATCTGCGCTGCTTATGCTGTTTACTGCTTTATTTCACGGCGACAGCCTTTGCGGGGTGAGTAACCGCACAGCCGGGCAGGCGCGGTGCTGCCCGCAGGGGTGATCGGCGTCTCTCGCCGGTACACATGTTGTGCTCTGATTGGTCTGCACGCTGTACGGGCTGCTGGGGCCAGTGGGAAATATTTCTGAATATACCATTTTATACTCTGCATGCTAGATATCCTCAGGGTGTACGTGGTAAAATGCATTCAGTGCTGTTTTCCGCTTCTCATAAGCAGGCTTCGTTGTTATTATCGCACAATGACAGCACCTGCAGCCCGCATCTATTCCCTTACGTAATTTTCTAATTTAAATATGCTTGTTTGCGGTTAATAATACACCGTTACGTTAGATGACCCCCATCACCTAGCGCTTACACCGGTTTCTCCTCTGTGTGTAATAATCCTTTCCTTTTAGATGGAGCAGAGCCGGGGACTCCTTCCTTAAAAATAGTTACAGGGAGCAGCTACTCCAGTTTGTATTTTTCAATGGTACATACCCATAGGCTGAGCCTGTCACCTTGGATTTATTTAAAATTAGACTACGCTCAATACATCGCTTTAGCGCTTATAGGCACTCAGAGTGGATATTTTATTAGCTCATGGTCGCTGTCACAATTAATGAAGTTCATAATTGTTCCTAGGCGTGATTTCTACAAAATCCTGGGTGTGAAGAAGTCAGCATCAGTTAAGGATATCAAGAAGGCCTACAGGAAACTAGCTTTGCAGCTTCACCCGGACAGAAACAGGGATGACCCTTCGGCTCAGGACAAGTTTGCGGACCTCGGGGCGGCATATGAGGTGCTTATGTCCGAAGTGCAGTCGGTTTGTGTGTGAATATTAGCACACATTCACAAATGCTAGTTTTCCATTTGAAATCAGCTTAACATCATACGATATCTAATCATGCATACAGGGGTTTTAACCTGCGTAGCTGACTAACCACCCAAGTAATCGTGGTGTTTATACAAATATGAACTTTATCGTATTTTAAAGACTTGAGTTTATTTAATGCTTAACTGTTATAGTTGGTTGTATTTATGAATGAACCTCTAGGCTAAAACACTGTGGTTCAGCATGATTCGGTCCACACTACCAAGAGGCGTGACTTAATTGCGCTGCAAAACGTTGCGGCTTTCCGATTGGTGGGAAGAAATGTGTGGCCGCTTTCTATTGGTTCTTGCCTTCAGGGTGATAGTTGAACCCAGAAGGTGGATGCGTGAAAACGCGAAACGAATCATTCGAATAAGTGGGGCGGGATTTAATTGTACGCTCTCACTTTGAGGGGTGGAATAGCTGCAGCTTCAAGAATTTAAGTCCAGGAAATAACACATTTAACCCACCGTAGAAACTTATTTGGCGAAAACTTACCAGGGAGTGCGTTAAAAATGTTTCTACTCAACCAAAATTTACTGATCAATGAACATCGGCATTAAAATGGTTCGCGATATCAGGTTCTCACGGACGAAGAGAAAAGGAAGCAGTACGATGCCTATGGAGAAGAAGGTTTGAAGGAGGGTCATCATCACAGCTCGCACGGAGATATATTTTCCAGGTGAGCAATGGTATGGAAGCTAGATGGGGAAGGAGGTGACTGAATTGTACATATACAAATGGTTCAGTGTTTTCCAACCTTGAGGACACTCCGACAGTCCATGGGGAGCTGGGATGGAGAAAAAACGTGGACCGGCTGGTGGGTCCCTGATGACCGGGTTCGGAAACACTGCTACAGAGCTGTGGATAGGATAGATACTAAGCTCTGTGTTTTAGTCACAGTTTTCTTTATGACTTCCTTATATGAATTGATTCAAAATAAAACATTAAATATAACTTATCTATGTCTTTTGGTATTTATTTTTGTTTTGGTCCCAGTTTTATAGCAGCATTTCTGAACACACGTGATTTGATGAGTGTGAGATCTCTGATCCGTACATCGCTGGCAGTGTGATACTTGTACTTAAATTGCATTTCCTCTTTGCATGTTGCAGCTTCTTTGGTGACTTTGGGTTTTTTGGTGAAAATCAGCGGCAGCAGGACCGGAACGTCCCCCGAGGAAACGACATCGTGCTGGACCTCGAGGTGACGCTTGAAGAAGTCTACTCGGGCAACTTTGTGGAAGTAAGTCTCTCATCTGTGCCTGTGTGGAAGATGATTCCGCTAGAGTCGTTATACCCTTACGTATTACACCATTATAAGAGCCTTCAGCACAAACTCATTTCCTCCTCTTCCTCCATTTTTCCTGCTCAGGTTGTGCGTAACAAGCCTGTAGCCAAAGAGGCCCCAGGGAAGAGGAAATGCAACTGTAGACAGGAAACGAGAACCACTCAGCTGGGACCTGGACGCTTCCAGATGACCCAGGAAGTCGTCTGCGACGAGTGTCCCAATGTGAAGTGAGCTTCCACTGTGTCTGTCGAGATCCAGTCGCCGCACAGTGTCCTCGTCTCTCTCTGTTGTGCCAAGAATGGAATGTCGGTTCAATAAATATGAGAATATGACTTTTGAGAGTCTCTCTCAACACAGGATGGTAAATGAGGAAAGAACATTGGAGGTGGAGATTGAGCAAGGTGTGCGGGATGATATGGAATATCCCTTTATTGGAGAAGGTAAGGAGCAAAGGACTTCACGTGGGGATGCGGCTGGCGGATATCCGACTTCAGTGTGTTTATCACGCAGAATAGAATTTTGCTTTCGTAACAATGTAATGGTGACACTGAGATCCTGTACTGGTAATGGACAGATGGATGGAGGGATGGAATGAGTGAGAAAAGTGCTGCCAGGAATCCAAAGAACATCAGTAGACCTTAGATCTGTAAGCAAATTATTAACTTGCCTTTACTGTCCTTGTATAATCAAAACACACATCTGTGGTACGCACTTAGTCTGAATGTCAAAGATATACATTTATTTACAGTTCAAGCTATGTCAGTGTCCCAGGTTTGTTAATATAGAACAATGATCACTCAGCCCTTTACTGTTGACACACACATCAGACTGAGTTTCTCTGTCTTCTTTCCTTTCCTCTATCAGGTGAACCGCACATCGATGGAGAACCAGGAGACCTCCGCTTCCGCATTAAAGTGATGAAGTAAGAGTGCACTGGGCTCTGAGATGTTCTGGTCAAACTGAAACGGGAATCAACTGTTTAACAACTACGAGGCTTTGAACTAGATAAAGCTCAAGTCCTCTCTGCCTTTATGAGAGTGGACACGTTCCCCTATGCAAGGCCGTAGTTTGGTTCTCCGTAGTGCTGTGATGGGGGGTGTCAGTGGTAATGTGTGACCGGACGTACCAACAGGCACCCGGTGTTCGAAAGGCGAGGAGATGACCTTTACACTAACGTTACAATCTCCCTCCTGGAGGCTCTGATGGGCTTTGAGATGGATATCGCTCACTTAGACGGACATAAGGTACGTATTCATACAGACTTGCATATTTTTTAGAATTTAGTGATTAATTGTCATTATTCAAGATGGATTTATTGTCAATACAGCAATATACGTGGTATATCGTGCATCGAAATGCCGTTTCACCCAGTACACACACAGTAATTTTATTGACACACCACAGAGTGTGACTGTCACCCATATGTGACAGTGTGACATAGCAGGGGGCAGTTAATTCAGCACCTGGGGAGCAGTGCTTGGGGGGCGGTACCTTGTTCAGGGTACCTCAGTGGTGCCTTGCTGGTCAGGGATTCGAACCTGCAATCTTTCAATTACAAGTGCGTTTCCCTAACCATTAAGCCACCACTGCCCATATACGCATATGCGCTCCTATCAGGCTGATAATGAAAGCTGAGAAGTTACATGTACATGTTTACCTACCATGTGACATGGATGGTGTTAATGCTTCTGTGGCAGGTTCACATTGCGAGGGACAGGATCACCAAACCTGGAGCCAAGCTTTGGAAGAAAGGCGAAGGGCTGCCCAACTTCGACAACAACAACATCCGTGGTTCCCTGATTGTCACCTTTGACGTGGAGTTCCCCCGGGAGCAGTTTGACGAGCCGCAGAAAGCAGGTGAGGGAAGTGGTTGGGGGTACGGGGGGGGGGGCAGGCAGTTGGATGCCCTCCCGAATGCCACCACGCTGCCCATTCAGACAAACATTCTCATTTACGCATGTCTACTGAGCCTTATATTAATGATAGTGCCTTATTCTGACGGTTATCAGCAAACTCCACTCCTCTGAACAAGATGGGTGTGTCATCTAAAGACTTGTGCTGTTAACATCATATGCACAAGGCATATTGAAGTTTGGTGAAATCTAGTACCCCACCTAATAATCATAGTGCTACTCATTTTGGTCTCTGGGGACACAGAGTTAGTCCATGTTTTTGCTCCCTGTCTGGCAGTCCACGTTGTTGCTGTCTGTGGGTCCCTGAGGACTGGACTCGGAAACGCTGATCTATTAGCTTGTTTATCTGCCTTCCCAGTGGTATATCTTGGACAGTATTGTTCATATAATGGTTACAACTGAGTTTTGAAAAAGCAGATACCATTTGGAATGAAAATGACCCTGAATATCAGATGGCATGTGCAATCATCTTGAGTTATTTTTGTGCCCTTTCTGTTTACTCATCAGCTTGAAATTCTGTTATGTTGTGAAAATAAGATGCAGCTGTTTAGTCAGAGGGATAAATCTCTTAATTTCAAGAAATTAAGCAATACAGTAGAACATATTTAAATTGAAAGTAGATTGAATTTGTGTTTAGTCAAAGATCATTTGTAGAAAATTCCTAGTATGTTATTTTATCCTAGGATAGTGGGATGTGCTGGTTTTTGCTCGGCCTCAGTTGACAGTGTAATCGAGCAGCATGCACTAAAATAGGATTAAACACCTCCCAGAGTGAAGTGTGCAGAGTTAATGTTGTAACCTTGTGACCTTTCAGGCATACGGCAGCTGCTGAGGCAAGCTTCAGTACAGAGGGTGTATAACGGACTGCAGGGGTACTGAAGATCCAGCTCCCCCGAACTGTTCCCTCACGCAAACACAGGAGCCAGCCTCCATGTGTGGATCTATTTATTTTTAAGACTGTACTCAGGATGGCTGGATTTGTATGTCCTCTCTTCATTTTTAATAATGTGGGCCTCTTGTTCAGTTTTTTAATAGTACCAGTGCCTCTGTCATGATTGTTTTTGGTAAGGATCATCGTTAGATTTTTATTTAATGTTTTTACTTGTTTTTCTTTGACACATACCCCTTGATTTCTGTCTGATGAGATTGGGCCTATGAGCTGTCAGTTATGCAGCTTCCACTGGTACAAACAGACAAGGTTGCATTTTAAATGAGCACGGGTGTCCTGCACTTGCGCCCTGTGACCTGTGTGGGTCTTTTTGAAATGTCTCCCATTGTAATCTTTTAATTTATTCCAACAACGAAGTATGCTTGTGCCTGATGATCGCCACCAGGGCAGTGCGCTGTTTGCACCTGTGTAAAACATGCCAGCAGACAGGAAATATTAAAGATCATAAGAGGATTAAAAGGTTTTTCTTACCGCCTGGGTCTCTGAGCACGTTTTCCTGGAGCCTTTGCTGCCATTGCAGTGCTGGGTTTTGCATAACAGTGCCCACCCTTGGCTGTACTGCCCAGTGCGCAGTGGGATTTTAGTTTGTTATGGTATCTGCTTGATCCCTTCCACACGCACGCAGGCCGTCCACTGGCCTACACTCCTACACACTGGACTTTGGCAAAACGGCAACATATAAACTGACATATTCATGCAAAAGCATAATAGATTTCTGCTGAATTCTAAATATTTAAATGGGGCTTGTTGACAGACAATGCTGTCCCTGGCGTGGTGTTTGCATACACGTTGATGTTTTGTCTTGCTGAGCCATTTATTACTTATGGATGCTGAGTAATTTAACCAATAACTTTTTTTATTATTATTATTACTGGCAGATAACAGTGAATTGTTATTAACGCGCTACATTAATGTGTTTTTGAACTGCAGCGATCAGCAGGGTCAGATTCAATTACATTTTAGATCAAATTGACTGTCTGCTGACCTCACTTCATACTTTTCCGTTCTAGTCTTTTACCAACCTTTAATCTATAAACGCTAAGTGTTTTACAGACAAGCCATGTTTGTCCTTCATGTGGGGGTGTTTTTATTGCTGCCATCTTAATGGCAGACAATACTGCATCTTAATAAAACAAGCGTTATTAAATACAACTTGAAAATCTGCAGTTACCAAACGACGACCAGTAGGTGGCAGCAGCACATAACGGTTGTCTTGAGTTTAGCTTTAAGAATCGGTGTTAGCTGCGCCCGTGCTTAACCCGCCCGAGGACATTTTAGAAATACATCCCCAGTTCCTCACACTTCATAAACCGTACAGAACTAGCAGCTCTGTAACTTGGGAATCTATTTCTCCTGTATCAGTTTGTGAGTTCAAAAAAAGAAAACTGAAGAAACACGATGTGATTACAAGTATCCTTCTCCTGAACCAGCTGATGGATTAGGTGAAAATATGATGTGCTTTTACAGTTTCCTGGTTTGACTGGCACCCATGGTAGTCGCTTGATGACCACAACTATGGGCTGTCCTTCTTATCCATCAGACATGGTCCCAGTTAGCGTTTATGGGGGATCCTGAAACAGACGGCTGATTGTCTCCTCGAGCCTCGGTCGGGTACAACCGCAATATATGAATATATATACCCTATCAGGTTTGTATTGCTGATAACAGAACGAGAGTATATATTACAATTATGAACCAAAATATTTAAGGTGCCTTCAAGTCGTACACGTAGATTTTTGTAGAGCACGGGGGTCTCCGGCAGAGGGAGCTGAACTACCTGAATAACTGGATATGGAAAAAGTCAACTAAACCAGGAGTTTTCTGGGGATCTGTTCGAGCGGTGTATTTAAACACGTGTATATTAGTAGATTGTATGAAAGTAAAAATGAAAACACTGTTCGGAAAAGAAACGCAGGTGAAAATTCATAGCAGGGCTTCTGGCGCCCTTCCTATTGGCTGATGCCGTCGTGGTGATTTGCATAGACCCGCCCAGGCAGGGTTTCCTCCGCCCGTGACTCTAAGCAGGTTACATCTGGGAGAGAGAAGACGCGCGAGCGAGTGTCTGTGGGACAGTCTGGGTACCGGCACGCAGATGGAGCTGTGATGAGTGTAAGTGAAGGAAGGTCTCCTGCAACAGGCGAGCCCGTTTTAATAGAGGGTACTCCAGATTCTCAGACGGTGTATTAAAAAAGCGTGCTGACTGCTATGTGTTGAATGGCAGTGTCGCTTCCGTGCCTGATTTTTCTGAATTAGTTATGAGCAAGTAACCTTTTTTTTAACCCATTTAATTGACTAGCTTACCACTTCTGACAAGCTGCTTCTATTTGAAAATTCTTTCACCCGTTGCGGCTTTTTCTCCTTGCTTCGAGATCACCGAAGATCACAGCAAGTCCTCCTTGCACAGAAGATCTTGTGCCAACTTTTAGAGCTGTTTCTAAATTTCAGCCAGGGGGTCCTTTCCAGCTTACATGACTCTGACTGTGAGGACCTTCTGTAATGTCACCAGCTTTGCCGGAGTCCTTTACGCTTAAGCCCTCTGGGGCGGAGAGGAGCTGGCTGAATAGGTCTGGAGCTGCAGTCCCAGCTGTGAAAGAGAAGCTCTCCCAGCTTCAGCCCAGCAGCCTGCATGCAGAGCAGCAGGTGTGGGATCGAAGAGTTCACTGCGTTTCCCAGCACTGGACCCTGGTCAGACGGGCCACGCTCATGCAGCGCCGTGTCAGGGCTCTCCTGGGACAGCATGCCATCCAGCACTTCATCCACCAGCTGAACACCCTGAGGGAGGGGTGTCTTGAGAAGGACGCACTCCCAGCATCCCTCGGTCCTCTACCACAAGACTCGAGCTTCCCTGGGATTGCAGAAGCTGGTCTCACCCCTGCTCTTCAGGGCCAGGATGCCTCGAGGGACGTCCACCGCCTTGCCAGCCATGTTCAGGTGGTCATGAGAGAGGCTCAGCTTGACTCTGATGCCACAGAGAGCAGCTCAGATGAGGAGCCTGACCGCGAGGTCACACCAGGACCACAGGGGCTGCCAGTGTGAGTAGCGGATGGATAGAGCAACTCCTTTCCGTAGGTGTGGCCTGATTGTCGATCACAGCATCCTGTGAAGTGCATAAATGATAGAGACCCCAGTGTTGTTTTTCTGAAGAACACGTTGGTTTGGTATAGCTCTGTGTAATCTGTTATTTCTCACTTTTGATGCACCATATGGACACTGTTTAATACATTGACTCTAAAAGCATCATCATGCAAACACGGCACTTAAATTCATATTCACTGGTTTGGCAGACACCTTGCTCTAACATGCCACTGTTTATATGACATAGTGGCCTATATTTTCTACAGTTACACTCACACAGCAGAAGTTTACATTCCTGATGTAGGCGGGCATTGTGTGAGCTGGTAAGATCCAATGAAACGCTTTCCTTATTTAGACTGAAAGTGCAGGGTTCAAACATCAGAGCATGCACAGCGCTGCACTGGGAACACAAAGCACTGCAGAGATGTTTAGAAACACACAGAGTCCGTTGGTTATACGCTGCCGGGTTTGGCTTTTGCTGGTGTCCAATCGCCTGTCAGCATCGGTTTGTCACGAGCCTAGTCACCTCTTCATAGCTGCTTAACATTCTTGTCTCCTGATTGCCATCGAGAGAGCTACGTGCACGTCCCATCTTGCCCCAACCTCCTAGCACTCAGAGCTTTTCTTGATCTGAAGGACCACTCGAGTAGAAGAAATAGAGCCATGACTGATAGAAGCCTGAATCCAAAGTGACCTGCACAGCTGAAAGACACAATGCGAGCGCAGCGCTTTCATCAAGAGCAGCAGTCATATTTGATTTGGAGTGGGTGGGTATCTTTGGAGTCTCTCCAATCACACCGGCAGATAAGCACCAAATCAAGGACAATATGGCTGAAGTCTCCTCACTCCAAGGTCTCGTCCTTGTGACTTGAGTTAGAGAAACAGGGCAGGGTTAGAAGAAACAGCTTAATATACCATGGAGGACATTATTCCCCTCCCCTTTCAGAGTCAAACTTTCTGTAATTTAGAAACAGGCACCATAAATTTGACATGGTTACCGTTCTGGTGATGAGAAAGTTTGAAATGCTGCAAAACAACAAATAATTTTGGATGCCTTAAAGAGCACGTCTACGCAGTCCTGGAAGACAACAGACCAAAATGTAAAGAAAAGCTCCCTTCTCTGTTCTCTAAAAGCTTACGTATTGTGTGTCATGCATTCACAAGCATCTTACACTTTTTGGTGTGATAATCATCACAAAGAGAGCATTGCAGTCGGGTTGTAGATCTCACTACAAGTCCTTCAGTTCACTGAAGCCTGACGTCTTTGTTGGTTTAGCATCTGCAGGCTCCGCATTTAGTGGTTGCAAATATGTTTCCTCATTTGTCTCTGGGTTTTCGTTCTTCAGTTTCTGTCAATATGGTTTACGTTTAGTATTTACAGTAAAATGGGCCCCAGCGTTAGTCGGGAATTTGAGGGGAATTCGTAGACCACAGTGATGTGGTGTAAGCCTGTCTGACTGGTTTGCTGGCTGTTTCCTCTGCTGTTTTCCTTGGTTTCGTGTTGGGTTTTTCCGCCATTGAGATTCTGCGGTGAGGCTCCCTGGCTGCTAAGACATTAGCCCTGTTGTCCAGGTTGCTCGCTAGGCTTTGGGGCGACTCTTCAGCCCCCTTCCCATGGTCCTCTCCCCTAGCCTCTAACACGCTCAGCAGGATCTGGCATGGGGACAGTCTTGCTTTGCTGAGGTTGTAACCCAATGCTATGCTAACTGGTGCATGAAACTGGGAGCAGATGGTTACCAATACCACACGCACATGTCCACTATTTATTAATAAATAAACTTTGGCTCTTTACATGTATCTGAATGACAGCTGCACAGAGACACTTTCCTCTACGATATGCTTCGAGGAAGCTAGAGGGGCTCCATTCATCTTGGGGATGCCGGTTCTTTCTCTCTGCAGTCTGTCTGGGTCCTCGTTCTTCTGGTCACGCCGCGTATCTGGCACAGAGAGGTTCCTGCTCATTGCGGCCCTTAGCTGGCAGGGATAATCTGGGACTGGTCCCAGTTCAGATGGCTATGGAGGGCCGAAGGGGTCCTGGGGCTTTCCCCAGCTCCGGGATTAAGGGATTTCCCTGGACGTGACGGCTGGCCCAGTGGGCATGAGGGGACTACAGAGTCATACCCCACAGTCCCTCCTTCAGGGACTGAGCAGAATCACTCTGCGAGATCACCAGCCTTTTGCCTGGTGAAGGAAGCCGCTCCCATCCGTCCATCCATCCATCCACATTCTGAAACTGCTTGTCCTATTCAAGATCTTGGGGGGTCCAGAGTCTATCCTGGACGCTACAGGCGCAAGGCAGGGAACAACCCAAAGGATGGGGCACCATCCAGAAACAGCTCCCTCGTTGGGCAACTTACTGTATGCAGTGTGGAGCTGGGAGGACCGGAAACAACAGCTCACACAGCGATCCACGGCGATGGGGCTGGAAACAGAAGCTCACTGTCCCCCAGAGAAATGTGTGACTTCTTCCTTTGATGTGAAAGTGTGTATTTTAGCTGCTAAGCAGAACAGGAAACTAATCCCAGCATCCTCTCTGTAGCTGTAACAGATTGTTGGAAACGGAATAGCAGTGATTTGGGTGCACGTTTTCAATTTGCATTATGTCATGATTTCATCAGACCCAAATTTGACCTGTATATGGTTAGTTAACCAGCTGTGTTTTAGTTGTCATGTCGGGTGGGGTTTGGGCTGGGGCTGATCTGCTGCAGTTTGGTCATGATGTCAGTGTAGGGATGGGTACTGGCTATAGGGGGCGCTCTGATGGGGTCTCTCCATGCCGACAGCCGCGGCGGGCGGGAGTGGCGCTGGCAGGCCGAGCGCGCTGAGATCGGCAGCCGTTGGGCCTGGTTGCAGGTGCGACTGGCAGAGCTGGGAGCCCAGATCCAGATGCTCGATAACTTTCACAGGAGGATCGTCTCCAGCAAGGTGGGAGCCCAGAACAACGCAGACCTTAGTCAGATTCATCACGGATCTGCTGCTGTTCAGCGTGGCCATTAGTCTGCTCGCATGGGTACTTTCTCTCCATTTCTAGTGAAAAATAACTTCCATAAACATGGTTCTTAATCTGTTTCCTGGAGTTAAAGTATCACCTCTTTATGCATGATGTCGTCAGACTTGGACGCTGTGCAGTGTGTAATGATTAAAAGGGGCTTTCCTCCCATGGCACTTCCTCGTTGTAGCTGCTGAGGAAGTTTCCTGGTGTGTGTGTCTCCCAGGAGCGGGTGGTCTTGGCAGGGCCACGGTCCTCGGCAGGCAACAGGGTCCAGCAGGCGTGCTCCTTGCAGACGGGACCCTCCCCTGCTCACCCCAATGACTCCGCCTCCGATCCAGAGGCAGGGCCCAGCAGCCTCACGCGCCTCCTGAGGAACATCGAGAGGCAGGTGAGGCTTCACAGACGCACAGCTGGAGCTAAACGCAGGTCAGCTTACTCTACGCTCCTAAGACTATCATTCCTACCTATGTCATTCTTTGAGTTTCTGGGGTCAACGAGACCCCTCTCGTAATTGTTACTGGGATTTTCTCTTTAACCATTATCACCTTGTTCGCTCTCTCTCGCTTTGCCTTCCTCAACCATAAACTCCCTCAACCATAAATAGTGAAGACTGAGCGTCATTGTGTTTGGTCAGTGCTCTGGGCAGTGGATGAGTCACGTGGTGGAGAAGTCAGGAATGTAGCAGTGGTGGGATGGATACAGAGGTGTGTACACGTTTTATATAAAGCATGAAGAATGCCTGATCAGGGGTCAGAGGTCATCAGAGGGGCGGTCTGTAAACTGCACGGGGGCAGTAGTAGCTTGGGCAGCTAGCGGGCAGTAACGTGATACTGGTGTTACCTTTCAGAGCGCCCAGCTGGCACAGATTGTGAGCAGACTGAGGGACCCCCTGTGCTCTGCCCCCCTGACCATGCCGGAGCCCCCCCTCCCCGGCAGGTGGATCGACAGGGGCAGGTAGGAGCAACGTCCTCTGATCTTACTGTCCTTCGTCACCGAAAACCTATAGCCCAATTACCGCAGAGTTATTCAGCAGCGCGAGTTAGCTCAGTACATAATCATTAATATAGTGCATCGTTTATCTTAAAACAACACGATGTTCACGCTGAAATCCTGCCTCCACTCTGCATGTGTGTCGAGGTTCCCTGTTCTCCCCATGTCTGTCATTGTCCCAGAAACATTTTTAGGCCAAATTTGTGCCTCTTAATGGGAGTGTGTGGTTGTGCACGTGTGACCTGTGATGGCCTGGCATCCTGTTCAGGGTGTCCCCGGCCTTGTGCCCTGTGCAGCCTGTGACCACAACCCTAGGTTCACCGTGACCCTGTACTGGATTAGCAGCAATGAAGGTGGAGGGTGATGGGCCGAATGGCCTCCTCTCGTTTGTAAATTTCTTATGTTCTTATGCAGGTGGTGTATGTGTTGTTTAAATGTTCTTCTGCGAATGTTATGTGTGCTTCGCGTCGTCAGTGGTTCCCTGAGCAAAGAACGTAGCCTCCAGGTGCCTCTCCATCTGACCAGTCAGAATGGGAAGGAAGATGACAGAAGACAACTAAGTCAATCAAGTGTTGCTTAGGGCCCTGAAAAGACTTGGGCGGCCCCTGACTATAATGTACAAAAGACAAACATCAAAATTGTTAATTAAAGTACAATACAGATTTAGTTTTAACTGATTAGGGCTTCCTCACGTCTATCGTAGATGGTATTTCAGGTGACGTCATGTGTGTGACAGTGACATAATAGGTTGCTGATGGACTCTATACCATATGGCTCTCCATGTAAACATGACTCCTTTTGTTGAAATTGAGTTAATGTTTAGGTTATATGAAAAGTAAATTAGTCCAGCTAGCAGCTAATGAATTAAACACTAAGCCACCAGTTAGTTAGTTTCGTCCAGATGAAAGTAAAGGCAGTAGTAAGATTTGTGTTTTAGTTATATTTGTTTTATATTAAATTTAGGGCCTTGTAATACAAAAATGATCCTTGGGTCTTTTTTTTTCGTCTGTGTTGTGGGAGGAGCCTGTATTTATCCTGCATGAGTTTGTCTGTGGCTCTGCTGTTCCCCTGATGTGTCCTACTGGAGTGTCTCTCCTTTTTTCAGACAAGTTCATCTCAAGAAGCACCAGAGTCGTTGCAGAAAGTCCAGCCAATCAGCTCGTACCCGCCCCCTCCTCACCTACTGCAGGCGCCGCCTCTTCACCTTTGACCCCCGATGTCCATGCATGCAGCAAGTAAGAACTGGACCGGAGTGAGAGGAGCGTCCAGTCTGCTGTCTGTGGTTTAGCTGCGTCTCGAGCTGGAAAAGGGAGTCATCCCAGGTCATCCTCAAATGGCAAACAAGCCCCACATTTTTATGGCTTTGTTTGGCTTAGCCGTACAAAATGGTTCTCTTGATTTATTGCCCAGCACCGGAAGTGGGGAAAGCAGACTAACATTTAGCTTAAAACAATGAGTCCTTGACAAATAGATGCCTCCTCATTTGTGCTTTAAGGAGCTGCATTTAGTGTTTTGTGATATTGAAATCTGTCAGACTGCTGTGGTGTGAATGTTTGAGGGTGGTAGCCTGCAGTATCATGCTTTCACGTTGTGTGAGTCCTGTTTGAAACATATAGCTCTATTTGGATGAAAGGGCAGAATTTCAATCTTAGATGTGTATTTGTGTGAATTCTCACTATTAGATAAGTAATCTGGTTTGGGATGGTATCTTTTTCTGCTGTGAAATGGTTAGAGAAGCTGATTTCATCTTTACTAATTATATTCACAGATTCACTGCTGACTAATAGTAGTGGAAATGCTCATTTAATTTAAATTGTTACAGTCACTCTCATCTCTGGTATTCATTGTTGCCCTCTGTTGATGCCCTTACTGCCTGCACAGGAGCCCAGCCTTGCTTGCCCGCTCTGTGAATTCTGCCGTCCAACAGCTGTGAGCACAGAGCCCTACTGGCCCAGAGAGGCCCCCGTGGGAGTGGATGAGAGAAGGTGGGCGGAGCTGATGAGGCCTCACCCAGTGTTGTCCCTCTCCTCAGGTAAATATACTTTCTCAGTATCCAGGGGAGCAGAACTTGTTTCATTTTTAGATCCTGAAACATTCTGTGTCATCTACAGAGACTCCACTTTCCCTCTACCTCCAAAGTGCTTTCTGTGGAGATGAGAGGCAGCCAGCCCTGGTTCAGATAGAGAGGTCAAGCCCATGTTTTCTCCCTCCAACTAGGGATACGGTTTTTAGGACCCCACCTATGCTTGGTAAGGATCTTCAACAGGTTGGTGAAGTTTCCATCTTCGGCTGTCATCGCATCGCTGTCGCCCAAATTGCTTCGTGAGAAACGTTCATGAATAGTACCTTGCCGCACTTCCAGCTCGAAGGCCCAGCTTAGCTAACAGTGAGATTATGTGGTGATGGTCCGGTTCTCTCAATGCTGCCCAAACTTTTGGTTTTTGAAAGGAGTCGTTCTGGTCAAGGTTTCTTCAGCAGGGGCGTCACTGGGACTGGAACCAGATGGAACCAGAAACCTCCGGCCTACAGGGTTGAGCCTGTGATCTCCATCCTAAATGCTGTATACTGTAAACCTGCTGCATGGGCTTCATTACAAAGAGCTGCCTTGTGCTTTGCTTCTCCATGTCTGGTTTATTATTATTATTATTATTATTATTATTATTATTATTATTATTATTATTATACCTTTACATAAACATATCATTGCCTCCAGTTTCCCCAGTTCCCTTTTAAGACAGAGGCAATGGAGGAACAGGGACTGATGCAAATTATGACGGCATGTTCTTGTATCTGGATTTGTTTACTGCTTTGCAGCCAGAAATATGAAGATGTTTGATGACTCTAGTATTGTCCTGGCTTATCTGGGCTGGACACTCTGTGCTATCTGTGAGAGCTGGGCCGCATTGTCTCTGTGTGGTGTGGTCTGGCCTCCGGCCGGCGCCGAGGGCTGTTCTAAGCATCCAGTCGCGTCTCCTTCACTCATGAATATGTGTCTCAGGAAGGTAGAACCTGCCTGGCCTGTAGAAGTGCTTAAATGACTGCAGGGTTAGTGCTTAAATGACTGCAGGGTTAGGGGAGGTTTTGTGATTTATGGTAAGATGGGGCCTTGGCTTTGCACTGTGGAACCCCTGTGTCTTGCATCCCCTAGTGTTCAGCTCCAATCCGAAGTGTCAGACGTCCCACAGAGATGGGTCTCCTTTCACCCAACGAGGGCGGAGGAAGCGGAGGCACTCAAACAGGAGCTCAGAGGGTAGGGACAGAGGCTGCCAATCATGTAAGAGGGAGGAGCAAGATGGTGGATATCCTTGCATGTTGTGTTTATCAATACTCTTAGTTCTTAAGTTATTCACAGATGTTAGAATCCAACCAAAGGAACCTGAAGGCATTGATACTAATAGGGCACAGGGTCTGACCTGCGTGTGCTTTCCGTGTGGTGCGTGCCCACAGATGCGGACCCCTTCAGTAACCCTTCCACAAGCACGGAGGACAGCCCTGAGGGGCTCACGGTCCCCCAGGGCAACCGGACACAGATGCTCTCCTCCAACCTGGTGGGTTGCTTAGCCTTTTGGCACAGAGCCTGAAAACATCTGCTTTGATTACCAGGGCTAATTACAGGTCTGACACTGTTTCTGTGATTCAGTGCTCTGAGGTTATGGATCATTAACCGCATGAAGGTGCAGGTACAGCAACAGTCAGAAGTTTGAACACACCTACCCATAGAAAGTTTTATTTGTAATATTCTCTACATTTTAGAATAATTATAAAGATATCAAGACTATAAAATAACATATGGAATTATGCACTGACCAAAAAAGTATTAAACAAAAAAATATATAATCTGTTGGGGGGGGGCAGCTCCATGGGTTGGAACTCAGAAGGTTGCTGGTTCAAATCCCATGGTCAGCAGAGTGATGCCATCATTGGGCCCTTGAGCAAGGCCCTTAACCCCGATTGCTCGGTTGACCCTACAGTCTCCTCTACGCCAGTTTCATGAGGTAGCCTGCTGGGATGCTTTTCCAGCATCCTGAATGAGGTCCCACATATGCTGAGCCCTCATTGGCCGCTTTTCCTTCTCGGTCAGGTCAGGCGGCCAGATCATGTGATGTGACACTATCACTCTCCTTTGAAGGTGGCTTGGCATGTCCAAACGTTTCACTGTTACTTTATATTTACCGTTTAACTTTGTGATGCAGAGGTGGGGAGACTTGGGCCGACATGGAGGGCTCTCTTTTGACATCGATGATGTCATCATACCCATTTCCCTGGTAACCGCAACCAAGAGGGAGGAATTGCAGCAGAAGCATATCGTCACACCCAGGTACTCTCACCTGTGGCCACTATACCACCATAGGGATAAAGACACCCATTTATAAAGGTCGCAGTCCCAGATATTAGTGTTATTGCAGCACTCCAACACAGGAGCCTTGTTTGGACACAGATTTATTATACATTGTCATGATTTCTAAGGTTCTGCAGATCAGTGTGTTTACATACTTGTCAATGATCGACGTATCAGCAGGCTGGTTTATTATTACTTAAATTTGGCCTAATGTCTAACCCAGAATGCTGGTCCGTTCAGTAATTTCCGCACCTCTGCCTCGAACAGCTGGCGTGTCATTGAGGTCGAGCCTCTAGATGCTGGAGAAGAAGCTCCCGTCGGGGTAAGGTTGTAGCCATTTTCACTGCTGGGGAGATGTTATGATGACCTGTCTCTAATGGGGCAGCCATCCAGAGTTTTAAAGCAGGTAGATGATTAAGAAGACAATAGCAACAGAACACAGGTCTGCTGGTTCTAATGCTTTTAATACAGTCGGTCTGTCATGACACATGTGTGTAATTTCCCTCATTATGACACGTTTCAGTTCTGGTGTCTCTGGCTACCTTCCCCAGATGGAGGAGCTCTCAGACAAAGCCTTCGCCTGCAGACATCTGCCATACGAGGCCGCAGAGAGGCTCCGTTGGTCCTCCTGGGAGTGCGGCCGGGGCCAGAGGCGGAGTGGCAGGTGGGCAGAGCTGGTTTGAATCCCCCATCGGAGCGGCTGGTGTGATCAGTACGAGATGTGGAGCTCTTCTCACTGCTACGGGCCTCTTGGTGAAAATGAGCCTGGTCCTGCCCAAGTCACCAAATTGGGTGTTCAATATGCTCAGTACAAAAATAAAACCTTTATGTTATTTGTACATAATGGCAGTTGGAGAGTTTTCCAAACCCTCCGTCATGCCCACGCTCTGGGCTCCGTGTGAAGAATTTCAGCATCGCTTAATTCGCAAGCTGGTTTATTTGTCCCTAACAGGAGTGCGAATTAAAGAGGACTTTCATTGTCTCTGGCAGGAATCAGCACTTCCTGCTCATAGTTATACACACTTTGTTTACTCAGTCCCTACTGTCATTGTCTGTAAAACAAAGTTATTTTCTGTCTGCTTGTCCTGTATTCTCAGTGGTGGCTGGGAACTGATGACTGACAGCCATTCTGCACTACTGTTCGCAATCAGAAAATTTATCAGTAGCATTCAGCGTTATTTAGAAAATGTTTTCCTAAAACTCGAATGGAAAAATATTCAGTTGCACATATTGGTGTTATTGTAGTATGTAGTTGCCCTGGTCATTTTGGAGTTTAGGTGACTATAGGCAGTAAATCTGTACAAGTATGAGTCATGGATCAGGCCCTTTGACCCTCTGTGGAGATGCTGACCTGGTGGCCCCTCTAGGGGGCGCAGAGGAGTCCCGAGGCTCCTGCCTTTGTTTTTGTTTACCTGCAGTTCTTTCTGCATGACCGCCGACGTGTGGGGACAGTCCTGCCTGGAGCGGAAAGGCCCAGAGTGACCCGTCTGCGCAGACAGACAGTGACTGCAGATGATATGGAGGACAGCAGACGGCTTCAGTTAGAGGCGTCACCGCTGCCCATGATGGTATTAGTGGTGGCAGACGAGTTCCCTGCTGGCAGAATGGCTGCTAATTCATGTTGAGCAGCCATGACTCCCCCTGAAGGATGCCAGTGTAAACATCACAAATTTGCAAAAAGTAATGCTAAGGTACCAAACTGCCAAAACTGGATGCATGAACTGTAATGGCCGGACGAGACTTTATACAATTGTTTTAGATTTTGGACACTTTCTTGCTTTTAAAGCTTTGATCCACAATCTGAATATTAAACACTTTTCTAAAGATACTGCAAGATGCACCTGTGGTGTTCTTTCAATTGTGTCGTGTCCAACGTAGGTGGTTCAGTTGGCGTGTATTTTCAGCAAATTTGACCCTGATTACAGAGAACTCTTGGCTGGGGTGGCGTGAAGAGAAACATGCTGTTTTGGGTTATGGGTCAGCATCTTCTGCAGCATGTTGCCGTCGTGACGTATGTGTGTGAGCTACAAATGCTTTTAACTATGTTCCTTAAGCGTTTTGAGCTTTGTGGAGCCTGACAATCAGAACAAATTCACGCGTCTTAGTGAAGTGTGCTTCCTGTAACTCAGGTCGTGGGTTGAGGTCCTTCATATGGATACATTATCCTGTCCTATCCCATCCCATCCCATCCCATCCCATCCTATCCCATCCCATCCCATCCCATCCTATCCCATCCCATGTCATCCCATCCCATCCCATCCTATTTTACAACCGTGCAATAAGTAATTCTTCAGGAGTGGACATAGCATACGTAAGCATGCTTCATTACGTGTTTATGTGTGTGATTTCTGCGAATCTGCTACTTGTTTTGTTTGTGTCTTCCTTTGCCCTTGTGTCTTTTAGCCTGGGGCTTGTTAGCTTATTCAATGCAGATTAATACATAGTTATGTAACCCATTATCTAACCTGTTACCCAGCATCCACAATATGTGTCATGCACAGTGACTTTGCTGTCAGGTGGTACCTCTGGGAGATGCAAGAGGAAGAGGAGGCCCTGAGCCCTAATGGAGGCTCCCCAGCAGTGCTGGCCTCTCCGGGAGCGGTGACAGCGTGCCCTGTTTTGGCCGTTTTCCCAGCATGCAGCACAGTAAGAGCTGAACACCAGCAAGCAGCCTGGTTTTTCACAGCTGTGATGTACCAGTTCACTCTGCATTCTTGGTCCTTCTTACTGAGTGCCCCTACAATCCTTTGACAGACAGATACTTTAGTGACTGACTCTGGTTGGATACTAACATGATACTGAGTGGTTGTGCATTTACTTTAACAGTAATATGTCAAAATAAGCCCAGGTTTTACATATTTCTTCCCTGGGATACATGACGTAACACACATGGAAAATCATTTTGTCATCCATCAACATGGGGAAAGTGATCAATCTATCTGAGGCACAGAGTGGTTGACCTACTTAAAGCAGGTGATGGGTACAAAAATCCATAAGTGGTTAAATAAGCGACTAAGCGCTGTTAGCGCGGTAGGCTGAAAGATTACAAGTGCCGCCTCCACACTAGCGAGCAGCACAAGGACAGCATTACAGGGAGCAGCCCACCAAGTCAGACGGCAGCGCTATAAATATAAAACACAATATAGAGGTGGGTCTCTGCCGCTTCTGGGCTGTTTGGCTGCCAGTTGTACTGGGGCTCCGTGACACGAATCCCACAAAGAACTTCATAACCACTAATTTGCTTGCCTCTGTGAAACCGAGCCTTTCCAGCAACACGAGGGCCAGATATATAACTCAAAATCAACATGCGCATGTGAAATGCAAAAATAAAACCAGGGTTAATCTGTCTGTCTGTCTCTGTCTGTCTGTCTCTGTCTGTCTGTCTGTCTGTCTGTCTCTGTCTGTCTGTCTCTGCAATGTGTATCAATGTGTTCTGCCACTTTATTACGTATTTTTAAAAATTGGCTCAGGGACAACAATAAGAGTGGCACAAGGCAGGGAGGTAGCCAGCAAGGGACGCCAGGCCTTTGTGTGACACATACTGTCACACTGCAGGTTATTGGCCTGTCGGAAGGAGCCTGCGCAAGCATGAGAAGGACAGAGCAGGAGGTGCCCGTCAAACTCGTGGTCCTGCAGGTTTGTGGGAACACCATAAGGTGCATGTATATTACATCAGATTTTATGTATTACATTATTTGCACTACTGTTATAATTTACAGCAGTTCACTCTGCATGAATCAATGCAGGCCCATGAAGTGTACATGGTGTTTCATATTTAAAATAATCATAGAAATGTGTCATAGACATACGGCTTATGTCATTCCTAATGGTTGCATTTCACTCTCAAACAACAGTAACATGATGACTGTATTCGTGGAAGTGTGCTGGAGGTTAGATGCACTACCCTGTTGCAGTACCAGATGTAATCAGATGGTGACACTGTTGTGTAATAGCTGCATGTCAATACAGTCCCTAATATTAAGTCAATTTTATACCTCATTTATTCATCCAAAAGAAAATGAAAAAAATCACCCTGGAGAGTCTGCATTTTGCACTGATATGAAAGAGCATGTTTCTGATCTTAATGTCCACATGCACCTCATGTTCCATTAATGGTGTTGGGTCAATCACTGTGTTCAGCTTTTATTCAGCTGTTACCCTTTGTGTTACATTTGTTTTACGTTAAACAGAATCAGAGGGTCCCCATTTGTGGTCTTCAATTGTTTTTTTTTTTGTTATTTTAATTGCTACTTGCTCAAAAAAAAACTTTATGTCACTCCTCATTTACTGGCAAATTCTGAGAAGGTTTCCTTTTCGAGGGCAACGTGTCCGGCTCCTACGTGGAGACCAGGCCAGTGCTTTAACCCTTAAGGCACCTACAGCAACCTTTAAAAACACTGAAGTGTTGTACAATCGGCCCTATATACTTCCCCTTTCAGACTACCTATTTTTGTTTTGTTTATGTTTGCACAGTAGGGCTCTCCTCTGGACTCTGCCTGTTCCACAATTCAAATCACAGTCTCCCCTGCAAGATGGCCGCCGCTCTCTCAGGCTCTTTGTCCACGGCTCTCAGTTTGTCATCCTTGTCCTTGGACTGAGCAAGACAAGAGCCTGCTGCTCACCATCATTTGGGTGGACCGTTTGATGAGCCACAATGACATTTAATTAGGTCCATGAATAATCTCAACCTTTTGCGAAATATAATGATCGAGATGCATGCATCATAGAGAACAGAGACCTTTTTCTTATTGATGGATTGTGGAACAGTGGTGTTTATTTTTTATTAAGGATGACAGAGGAAACGTATATCCAGAAAAGTGCCTGCTTAGAAAAGGGAAATCATGCATATGCTTATGTCAGCATCAACATGCATTGAAGATAGAGGCATGTGTCAGGGAGCTGGGTGACATGTTCCCTATTTTCCATGCTGTTGATGTTTGACACAGTGTCAGTGTTTGTTCCTGGGCCCTGGTGGTCATGCTGTCAGCTCTGACCCCTGGAGAAAGCCGGATACCATTGGCTGCCAGTTAATGCTGATCTAACAGCTGGAAAGGCCTGTGCCCAACCCTAGAGTGTGGCACAGCCCAGCAGAGCTTGGATGGAGGCTGGAGGCCTTTGACGTCCCATTGAGGCTGTGGTGTTTCCCTGTGCTGAGACTGAACACAAGTGACAAAATGCACAGTAAGGCCAAAATGTGAGAGTGTGTCTCCAACTGGCAGACTTGCTCATCATGCTGCACGACCTGCAGGAGGGGCTCCTTGGGGATTTGCAGCAGATTAATGCTTAAATGGTGGCAGGGGAAGAGCGGTGTCGCATTTAAACTCCCTCTGGGTGAAATCTGAGCATCCTAAAATGTGTAAACTCCCTTGCAGACGGCACCTTGGCGTTGCCTGCTGTCATTCCCTCGTGCGGTCACGTGACTTTCCAAATCCACCCCGCATATGTCCCATTCATTCCCCACAGCCTCTGTCAAGACTGTTTGGCCATTTTGCAGCCCCTCTGTAAACAAATCTGCCCTTTGCTGTAGACTCACCAGACTGACTAATGTGGCTGACATATATACAGATACAAATTCTATAGGTCAATTTTCTCAGTCTGGATTGGTCTGTAAAACAGGCTCATGATTAGAAAGCAGTTCCATACTATACTGAAAATGCACATTGGGTTTCTGCTGTTTTCTGGCCAGTAAATATTCAGCAGTGAGTCGGCTGCTTCCCTTGTGAGCTGGAGCAGGTCACTGTAAACATCAACACTAGGCTGTCACTGGTAGCCCAGTGCCTGGGGAGTGATGAGGGTATGAGGAACTGGCAATCTGATCTGGACCAGTGGCCATGCACCCACCATTGCACCATCCCAAACGCCTATACAGGTAGCCATGGCAACACTAGTGCCTCTTCACGTGCGGAGTGGAGTAGCACCTCCCCCATTCTTCTTGACATCTTGAAGTTTTCCGCTCATAACTTGGGACTTGCAGGCGACATACTGGAAGTTGAGCTCCGACCTTGTGTGCGAGCTCCTGATCTACCAATAAACCATCATCCAAACATTACCAGGGTCGTGATCAAATCACATATGCACCACTTGTCAGACTGCCTCTCTATTCTCTGTTATCTTATTCAGGAGTGCCCCAGAATGGTCGGTACCTGCCCAGCAGCACTCATAATTCAGTGTTCATTTGGAATTTACCTCAAGGTGGCGCTGTAGAGAAATTAAGAGGTCGGACGGGCAATATGGTGTGATGCTGACACAAGCAACTATGCTGCAAATGTGGCTAACTGACCTCCCACATCATCATGTGCCTGTGTAGGTACTTCTTTCAGCTTCTAGTGAAAGTCGGTATTGATGTCTGAGAGCAGTATTTGCTGTTTTTCGGAGTGACTTCCTTCAGTTGAGTGTTAACCTCAGTGTAACTCTTTACAAAAATGTTTCTAACAGGAATGTTTTTCCCCCCCAAGTCTTAATAAAGAGTAGTGGCACCACGCCATGCAAATTGTGTATTATTGTTTCTTCACCATGCTTGTATGATGGTGGGCTCTTGAAGTTGTGTGTCCCAGTAACTCTGGTGTTTTTCCTGTACATATTACAGGAAACGATACAATATGTACACGTATTTTGGGACTGTGGGTGGGAACTCAGTGAAAACTTGCACGCACACACAGAGCTGGGGGTAAAAATATGTAACTCCAGATGCACTAGAGCTGTTCACATGCAGAGCAAGGCACGTGGCAGGGGCGGATTCGGGAGGAAGACTCAAAGAGTCATCATTTCATTGTATGTGGGGCCAGGGAATGAGCTTTCATTTCTGGCTTCAGGAACGAAATCAGAGTT